GTTACTTAGAGATTTATTTTAGAAATGAATTATACCCTGCTTTTAAAAGGGAAAAATAAAGCAAAACCAGTACACTAAGCAATTGCAGTTTGGTTCTAGTAAGCCAGTTAAAATATACATACTGCAATACCGCCTCCTTGCATTCCAAGGAGGAAATTGCTTTATTGGATCAAGCCAGTGGGGTCCATCTAGTCCAGTAGCTCATCTTCAAATAGTTGATCTTAATACTGCAACACAGGCATGAAATCTTTCACACAGAGAGAGGCTGGCATACAACCAAGACTAAAAACTTGGTTATCTATTTCAAAAATGTTTCATACTTACCAACCCATTTTTAAATATTTTGATATTTATACAGCCCAACAGGTTTGTTGAACCACGCTTGCACATTTATTTACCTGTGAAGTTTTGCAATCTAAAGCACCTTACGCAGCCTTAGTTCCAATACATGATTTAAGCACAGAAGATTACCAAACACCCATGAATCCAAAAAACCCCCTGTGTGCTTCTACCTGTGTGCTACCCTGTACTATGGCTCCCCCCTTGGCGTTGTTAATGTGATGCTCACAGAAGAGGCGGCTGTATACAATGCTGTCCTGGTGCCAAGAGACCTGTGTTCAAGTTTCGTATTACAAGATCAGCAAGATGTGAAGTGAGGCTACTGGAAAAATGTAAGCTATTAACAGAGCACAGATTACGAGATTTGATAAGCTTTAAACAAGGGAAAAAAATAAAATACCCACTTTTCACACATGCGATTATATAAGCGATTCTTCCATACTGCAGAAGATATAGGAGCTACTCCTATAAGTGCTTACTCACACAAGGATTAAGGATCAAATCCATACAAAGCATTTTCTAGTGCTACTTCAAGCAATAACTATAGCTGCAATGCATTCTATAAATCAGTGTCCCTACATATCAGAACAGAAGAAAAAGCCAAGAAAGCTTTTTTGAGTGACTTCATCCCATTTTATGTAAGTATGTAGTGTCCTGCCATAACTAGTACAGTAAAGCATGATGTCTTTAATATCTTCTCTCTTCCATCTCCAAAGCATTTTTCAAAACACAATGCATAAAAGAAACTCTATAAAAATGCCTTGAATTGTTTATCTTAAAAATGTGACTGTTCTGCACTAGCAGTATGAAAAAGTACATTAGGTGGCCATTATTATTTTGTCTTCTCCTTTGATAAATAACTGACTATATATGCTAAGCAAGAGTGGTTGGCAAGGACGTATAAAGAATCAAAGCACAAAAATCACTATCTTCCTATGTTCTACCAAGAGCTAGATTTGTAGCTGTCACTAGGAAAAATGAATGACCTTACTGTTAATGTTTCGACATTCATTCCTGTATCTGATGAGTTTTAAAAATCTGAACTGAGTAATGAGGATGAGTGTTCTGAAGTATATATTAACAGTTTACAAAACCAAACCACTGGGCCAAATTTCCTGTTGAAATAGATCCAAGACTGAGCCTCTGTTTTTAAAAAGTATTTCAAATGGGAAGGTATGCATTTACAATGGATTCTGTCAAGCTCCGTGTACTATTTAAATGTTTTCTCATCCTAGGAAAAAAAAAAAAAAAAAAAGCAAACAAATTCCTTTTAAAGTGTACACTTAAATTCACTTAAATTCAGTGATCTAAAGAAGATAATGGAGCAAATCTCCATCTGGTCTAAAATGTCAGAGCTTCAAATACTTCAGTGGAGCAATGAAAGCCTACATCAGTTGGAGATGTCACTCTTAACACATAAGAATGGTCATGAATGGGGACAGGTCAGTATTCAGCTCTGCTGACATAGGGCCCTTCTGCTACATTCATCCAAACACAACTTTTACCTTAGTGCCTTTAAAATTCAGCGTTTCAAAAGGTAAATGGAAAATGCATTTTCAAATGAAAAGCTATTGCTACCTGAATAATCTGGAGCTGTAGTAGAAAATCGATGAGAGAAAGACATTTAAATGAGATGTCTAAATATAGACTGTAAATATGAGACTGAACATTAATTAATTAGATTTGTAGGGTCTTTCCTTGCTTTAGCCTCTGCATCATCGTGCAATCTTTGTTTACTTTCATTTATTTTCTTTGTTTGATGACGTTTGACTAATAAGTACATTGATGAATTGCATCAGTAAATGCCATCCATATATCACAAAAATAGGATGTACTCAGTGTTTCTGGCACACAGATGCTAAAGGATTTTTTTTTGTTTGTTTGAACTTTCAGTACTTAACAAAGGAAATAATACCGCTTTGCTGGATAAACTTCCTGATTTTTATTTTAATTTTCAGTGAACAAACAGCTGCAGAGTAATGTGACTTAATGAAGCATTTCTAATAAAATCCTGCAGAAGTTAAAGCAGGGGCATAGAACTGCTTGCTCACTGATAGCTGTATCAGAGTAATTTTTCAAGATGGTGATCACATTTTTGTGTAGATGAGTATCACGTAATGTGATTTTTCTGTTTTCCAAAGTCAGTGATTTCCTTTAGTATGATATCTAGTTAGCATTGTTCTATTACTTATTTATAGTAAGTAAAACATACAACATAATTAACGCAACATATTTCTAATACACTATTTAGGCTTCACACAGTTTGGTAAGTAGCAATACAGCCAGCAATAAATTTAAGTGTGAAGATGCTCAGATCTGAAAAATTCCATGGTACATTTTGCTCACCAAAAACATATAGCCTGCATTTGTAAAGATGTCCTTTATCAAGTCTGTCATCACTTGTGATGAAATTATGAAACTTCTTGGCTGCTACATGCTGCTCTGCCACCAGAATTCAGTGTAAAGTATTATTTGCTTTATGTAAATCTAGATAGGGTTCAATGAATCATCACTTCACAACCTGCCAGTAAAGCAATCTCCAATATCCGTCTGTACACACATCTATTTACTTCCATTCAGAACAAGTTTTTCATGTATTCCCCACCAGAATTATCAAGTGGATTACAAGCATCTATATGTAAAGCTGAGATCCCTCAGATCACAAGAAGAAACAGGTAAAAATGTTACTCCGTATGTCCAGTATGGTAAAAGATACTGCCAGATTAGTCATCATTCTCTGATTAAAACAGCAGGACAGGAATCGAGATTTTATCTCAAAGTGACCCACTACCAGCATCATATCTAGAATTAATACCCCATTTTTGAAAGACCCCTTATGTTCAAACAACATGTGGAACCAGTGACTAGTAATCCTGATTTGGTCTCAACTAACTGAGCAAAGCCTTCCACTGAAATTATGGCATTTAGGTAGCTTACATTTACAAGAATAACAGTGGTTTTGGAAACTAGGACTTTATGGAACACAAAAACACATGGTTTTCAATATTGCCTCAGCAGGATCAGCTCTCTGCAATAAAATGTTAATAATGAAATCTCTATGAATTACTTTATTACTGTTAATTATATACTCACAATACAATTTAGGCATCAGTATGAAATGACTGCACAATTACTGTGAAAAAGTATAATGAAAGATGTAACCTTTGCCACCCCTGATAAAAATGCCTTAGTGTGCTTTTTCCCAACTTCAGCTAAGCTATATTCCTAGTACCACTTAACTACTATTTTTTCTAGTGTTTACCCTATGCTACAGAAAAGAATCTTAATTTATCAGTTTGACTTCACTGCGATCAGCCCATAAAGTAGCTTTAAAGTGTTAAACACACTGCAAGGTGAATGCTAATGTCTGAAACTAGTTGGCAAGACAGAGAAACCAGATAACAATTATCATTTAGTCAATAGTAATTTAAATGTATCCACTGCTGTGCGAAGACCCTAAGACCCTGAATGCTTTACGGGACTTTCAGGGATAGGGGTTGAGTATGTTTATTATTTAAATTGACAGTTCTGCAGGAGTCAAAGCACGGGTCTTTAAATACTGAGCCAGTGTCTACTGGGGGGTGGGTGGTAGAAATGAGGTACTTAGTGCTCTAAAAAAAATACTGAGAATCTCCAAACAAAAACTGGAAGGAGACAACTCTAACTACACATGTAATTTAAAATGCTTTAAGCAATGATTTTAACTCTCGGTAAGAATGAAACATGTTGAAGAGCTGTGCATGGTAACTCCTAACAGAGCAGTGCAAGCTACTGCTCTTCATGCTTTGCATAGATAACCTGGTGTCCGATCCTACAGCTCCACAGGAACAAAGCAGGTTATTTTAAAACTTTCTCTTGCAAAGCTATAGATGGGGTGGAATACGGGGAAAGCCCTCTCACTGTGGCAACATATTTAGCAGGTAAACGAGTTCCCTGAAATGCAAAGAAAGCAACGTGGACAGACAAGGTATGTTTCGTACTATATACACAACTTGCAGAGCGTTACACACAGAAAAAAAAAAAAAAAAAAAAAAAAAAAAAAAAAATGAAGCCATGAACCGTCTCTGTATAGCTATTTTTTTAAAGGATTCATAAAGTGACTCCTCTCTCCTGTAGCTGCTCTCTGAAGGCGGAGTGAACGTCCAAGGCAGCGTCCGGGCTCCCAAGCCGAGTAAACCCCCAAGTGCCCGGGGGTGCTGCGAGGTAGCGGCCACCCTCCCTATACCAGTAGTTGGGCTGAAAATCAAGCGGGTTCCCCTGGCCCACCCACGGCTCTGCTGAAACGCTGAACTGTTCATTTGAATAAAAATCAAATAAAATTCAAAGGAAAAAAAAAAAAAAAAAAAAAAAAAAAAGGCAAAAAAGGCAAGCAGCCTTGCGGATCTCCCGGCGCAGGGCGGAAGCAGGCTGCTCCCGGCGCCGGGCAGGAGCCGCGGCAGGGCGGCGAAGGCAGCCGCCCCTCACACCGGCTTTCTGCAACTTTTGGGCAGCGGGAGGGCGGCATCCCGCAGCAGCCGCCCCGCACACCCGGCGCCCGGCACCGCCGCGGCCGCGTTCCGCCCGCCCGCCGGGGCATCGCCGGGTCCGTCGTGTCCCCCTCCCCCGCCAGCCCCTCAGACAGACAGACAGACACACGCCCCTGGAGCTCACCGCTCACCTACCTGCAGCCCCGCTTCCTGCTGGAAACACCTAGCGATCGGCCGCCTCCCGTCGCGGGGGGAGCTCCGGCCTCACCGCCCGGGCATCGCCGGCCCGCGCCCCGCGCCCCGCCAGCGCCCGGGGGCACGGAGCGGCGCCGCGCCCGGCTCCTCGGCTCGGCTCGGTTCTCCGCGGCTCGGCCGGGCTGGGGCGGGCAGCCGTCCGCCGGGGCCCGGGTCTCCCCCCCCCGCCTCTCTGGGAATACACCAGGAATCCGGCTAAGAGACGCTAGAGGAAGGGTGAAGTAAGTGGGAAGGGTGGGAAGACTTGAAGTGCTTCTCGTGCACGGTTTCAGAGTATTAAAAATAAATAAATAAATAAATAAATAAATAAATAAATAAATAGGACTAAGTCTGGATTAGCTATCGGAAAAGCGACAGGTGAGGAAGTCCTGCAGCCCAGTGCGGCTCCGGCCCCTCCGCCAGCTGCGTGCGGTCCCGATTCAGCCCCGCCGGCGGAGGAAGGGAGGAAAAACCGGCGCGTCCTGCAGCAATCCCTCCGTTAGAGCATCTCTGATTGGTTTGCCTTTCACACACAGCACGACTTCCCCCTCCTGCTGCCTCCTTCTCCCTCTTGGGAAAAGTAATTGGAGAGCGAGAGCTTCACCTTCAGCGGTAGCAGCAGCAGCAGCAGCCGCTCCGCGCACCGCACCGCACCGCGGAGGGGCGCGGGGCCGCCCCGGGCGGCCGGACAAGCAGAGGCAGCTCGCACCCTGCGGGGGTGGGAGGGACGCCCTTCTCCTCCCCGGTGTTTATCCGGCTCCTCGCCGCTCCTGCCCCCCCTCCCCAGCCCCTTTCCGAGGCAGCAGGCCCCCGCGTCCGCCGCCCTGTCTGACCGAGGAGCGGGGGCTCCGCCGGCCGCCCCCGCGGCCCGCGCACCCCGGGGCTGGGCCGCCTCCCCGCCCGCCCCCCACGGCGCGGCTCAACCCTCCCTCTCCCCTCCGCGCCTCTTCCCCTCCCGAGCGGCGAGTGCGAAGTTTCCGCAGGGGCGCACGTGGCCGCGGAGAGGAGGAGGAGGTCCCCGCGGATCCCCGGCGCGGGGGGCGGGTGGTACCGCCGCTGCTCCCCCCTGGGCCATCACCCCCCCCCCCAACCCACCCCACCCCCCTTCCCCTGCGGCGCAGGGCTGGGCGCCGGGGCGGGGAGGGAGCCGCTCCGCCGGGCCGGGCCGGGCCGGGCCGGGCCGGGCAGCTCCCCCGGGGGGAGCGGGGCGGGGGCCGCGGCGGCTGGAGCGGGGGGGCAGGGGCAGGACGGACGCGGCGGCGCCGGCAGCCAAAAGCTGGACTGTGTCTCCCTCCAGAGGGAGAAGGGAGTTACGCACGGCAGCTCCGGCGGCGGGAGAGCCGCGGCCGAGCCCCCCTCGCCCGGGTTGGGGGGTGGGGGGGTGGGGGGGACGGCGGGCTGGGTCCCGGCACCTGCGCTTGGGAGGTGGCGGGGGGGACGTGGGGCGGGTCAGGTCCTGAAGGCCTCTTCTTCCTAGGCTTAAAGACGGGTGGTGGATCGCAAGTCGTCTGCCGCGACTACTGATGAACGGAGTGAAACGGTGGGTGGGGGTAGGTAAAAGCATTGCTGGGTCGTTTATTTCAGTGAGGTTTGTGCTGTCCAAAAGGGGATGCAGAGATGGGAGGGGAGGGAGCCAGAGAAGGTGAGAAAGGGCCCTCGTTCATTACAGGAATACCAGAGTCAAATTCTCAGTTTTCTCCTAGAATTCTTGTCCATTCCTAGGTTAAACAGTGATGAATGCATACAGCGTTAGGAAGCACTGTTATACTTAATTAACTGCTGTCTATTTTTAATTTGTACCAGCCAGTATAAAAGCAAGTTCTCCTTAACTGTCATCACACCTTATATGATGTTGCTACTCAACTCTGTGAGAAACAGAAGAGGGGAGTGAAACACTTCCCCAGTTGTTACTGTAGACGTAAGTAAGGATCTGTAGAATGTTTGAATATTTTCAAAGCAAATACAGACCTAAAGGTCCGTGCCATTAAAAATAAATAAATAAATAAAAAGAAAAGGCTTAATGTTAACTACCCCACACACAGTGATGCAGCTGTAGGATGAAATACAAAGAGGAAAGGGCAAGTTAGCAAGTAGCCTGGTATGTGGTTGTCACAATCACTGTTGCAGCAAGCACTGCGGTTCACATACACGCCTGGATGCGGACCACAGCCAAATTAAAAGGCTGCTGGTTGTAAAGACAAATGTGGTCTTATTCATTGGAGGCTGATACAATAACATCATGGTCTCCCTAGCTGGTTTCTATGTTTGCCAACAGCTAAAAGTAATGCAGAGGGAACTGAAACAACCAAGACCATGCTGCTATTAGCAGCATCGTTTCAGTACGTTGGGGTAGACCCAAACTGAAGTGGATCCACAGGGGTTGGATGCTCCTGCCCCACCAATGCAAAATGACCAGGGATCCTGGATACATACTGGAATGGGTGACCTTTCCTGTTGCGTGGATCACTGTAGGACCACAAGTATTGTTCCTGGATTACAAGCAGTCAAAGCACACCGAAAATGCAACTACAGCAGCTGTTGCACTTTAGTCACAGCAAACATCATGTAATTATAGGAGCAGATATACCTATATTAGCTGCATGTATCATTACACTCAGGTTGGCTATGTATTATGAGACTGGAGGATGCTTGGTAGTTTCATATTGGTGTCCTGCTGTTACAGAAATCAGGCAAACACATCTGAAGACACAGACCTATTCTCACCCAGTTAAAACAATATAAACAAGTCACATGCAAACAACAGAAGAAAAAGTAGACAAAGCAATAGCTAAACTGACCTGTTTTGAAACCCAGGAGTTTTGTCTGTGCAAATCTTGGAAAATGTGAGTGTTATTTACCGTGTGCTGCTGCTGCACATGAGCAGTTGCTCCAGATCCTTTTCACAACATCTGAAAATCTGAACAAATCTGCAGTACTCACACACAGGTTGTGTGACACCACGCAGGAAGACATGCTTTCAGGAAGCTTCTCTCCATGCTTTCACAGTATGGCCAGCACTCCTGGGAAGAACTGAGTTGATCCGTTGCACCTATACAGTGCAGCTGATTTTACAGATACTTACTTAGTAAGCCTGACTCATCTCCAAAGGTGCATTTGTACATGCTGCACATGCACAATACGATAAATCTACCATTTTCTGGAAATACCAGATTGGCAGTCTTTGTCCTACACAGCCTGTATTTATATCTTTCTGACTCGAAAATCCCCAGCTGAATACCGTGGCCTTAGAACACAACACGGTTACAAAACACAATATGAATGTTCTCTCTTTTTTCCTTCAGCTTGTTTCACTTTTGAGTTAGCATCGCTATTTCTTACTTTTCATCAATTTGTAGGGCTCTTCCACATGCTAAAAGAAAAGCATAAAACATGAAAGTGGGCATTGGCACTCACAAAAGGTATAATGTTTGGAACAACTTCAGCATTTCCATTTCAAGGTGAACAGCACAGCATAAAAATCAGGAAAATAAAAACTTGTTTCTGAATAGTTGCATATAGGTGGGTCTTGTATGTATCCCCTTTAAACACTGATTTTACTCAGAAGCATGCATGTTCTGAGCTGCTAAATAGAGAAAAAGAAAATTTATGTTTTGGTAGCCACATGCAGATTTTGTCTCTAAAAACTTATGAGCTCATTAATGTCTACCAACAATTTTTCTCCTTTGTCTTTCCCAAAAGACCACTCCCCTCCTATGACCCACCATGCTAACCTAAACTAACTAAAAGTGCCAGTTGCGGCACTGTTCTTCAGTTTAGCAGTTAGGTTCTTGGATTCTAATTTTTTTCATAAAGATTATGTTTTTACTTGGGTCTTCCATCTCTTTTAATATTGAACTTCAGGTACTAAAATAATCAGGGACACAGACCACAGCTCTCATCAGGAATACCTCAGTGTAAGGAGACCTATAGTGTCTTAGAGCCTGATGTGTAGCAGCATCCTACAACATTCTGTTATTGTCATCCCCCTAAAACTGGGGAAGAGGAAGCATGGATTGGATTCCAAAAGCCAGCTGCTATAAATTATTTGTGGTTAGCATCCTGATGCTCTGTGAGCTGGGACAGTCCAACAGTGCCTAAAAGTCCCCTCTACAATATTTATACAGATACACAGCTACACACTCATATTTTTATCACAGGTGAGAATATGGTCCACCAAATTTAAAGTTCTTTAAAAGCTCTGGTACGTTCCAAATATTCACATACAAAAATAAGGGTAATTGACTCCTGAAAAGCTGATGGAAAATGAAAAGGCAATGGAGCAAAGTTATTCTGGGGTTTTCTAATAATTCTCCCACAGGCATTTATTAAAATCATGCTGGTTATTGGATTTTGAAGGAAATAGGGTTTTTAACTAGCGTACTGGAATCATCACTGATTTTTCAAAGCTTCCAGATAAAATGGAAAAACTGACTGCAAAAATAACAGAAGTGACCATTCTTTCTTTTATACAACACATAAGTGATACAGATAAACACTATGATTTTTTTTTTCCATTTAAAACCATTATCCTAAGATATGAGATTACATGGATTGTTTATGCATGCTAACATAAATGCTGTTTATAGAGTAAGGACACCTTCTAGGATGAAAAAATAACAGATACATGTACACACTCAATGTTATTTTGGGAGCAAGACTTTGTTGCTTTCATTTAAGAGGAGAAAAAGCTGGGAATCGGAGAAAAAAATTGAGTTGAAAGGGATCTCTAGAGGCCTGGTTGGTGTGAGGATCCAAACACCAGTCATGGATGGGTTGACTTCAAAGACAGATTAGGTTGCTCAGGGCTGTGTCCTGTGGTTTCAGATATCTCCAAGGACAAAGATTCTACCTACCAGTCTCTCTGGCCCTTTTCCAGCATTTGACCACCATCATTTTGAAGGATCTTCTTCCTTACATCCAAACAAATTTCCCAGAATTTCCCTTTCTACCTCTTGTGTCCATTGCCTCTCATTCCTTTGCAGTACACTTCCAAGAAGCCTCTGGCTCCATCTTCCCCGCAACCACCCATAAGTAGTTGAATACAGCAGTTAGATCTCCTCTTTCCCTTCTTTAAAGAGGCTGAACAAACACAGCTTTCCGTTTTCTCGAATGCCATGCCTTCATCACTGTTAGCACACACTGCTGACTCATGTTCAACTTGCCCACCAGCACCTACAGGCATTTTGCTGCAAAGAAATTTTCCAGGTAGCCAGTGCCAAACTTGTACTGTTGCATGGGGTTATTCTGTCCCAGGTGCTGGACTTGCATTTGTCTTTGTTCAACTCCATGAAATTTCTGTGTGCTCGCTTCTCCAGCCTGTTTTGATCCTTCTGAGTGGCAGCCTTGCCCTCCAATATATTGACCACTCCCCACATTTTGGTGTCACCTGCTGGGAGTGTTTGCCACTGTCATCCAGATTGTTGGTGAAGACTGTAAGCAGCATGGGCTCCAGTACTGGACACTGACCAGCCACTGCTCTTTAAGCCTCACAGTTCAAACCGTTTTATAAACTGCTTAACCAGCCCATATCTGCCCACTTTGTCTACAAGAATGTTATGGTAGACCATGTCATAAGATAAACAACACCCACTGCTCTCCCCTTCCTCACACAGCCAGTCATTTAATTGTTCAAGGCAACCAGGTTGATCAAGCAGAATTTCCTTTTAGTAGATCCATATTAACTATTCCAAATCACTTTCTTGTCCTTCGTGTGTGGAAATGACTTACAGGAGAATTTTCTCCATAATCTTCCTGCGCACTGACCCGTAGATCCGCACATCCTCCTTCTTGCCGTCTTGAAAATGCGCGTATTTACCATTTTCCAATTTTGGGGACCTTCTTCTGTCA